AATATAAACATTGAATGTTATGTCTTGAGAAACCAATATTTCTATTAAAATCAAATAAAGATTCTAGCAAATAGTAAATAATTTATTTCATGAAATAACAAATAAATTATTTAATTGGAAATAAATTAATTTAATTTTTATATAAAATACTTAATAATATAATTTCGTTATTTTAAATAGATTATTTCTGAAATAACTTTAAAAAGTAATTTAAAAATAACGTTATTTGGAAATTTTTCAAAACACCCACGTTTGTATTTCACTAAATTATCAAGTCACAATAGTCTGTCATGCTGCGCAATCATGACTCAAGTTTGTTCCCCTCATTTTGGAGATGGTTTATAATGAGTTGACCATCTTATTTACTTTATTCATTTTTGTTATTATGTGAAGTTTTTATGTTGTCTAATTTGTTATCGTATTCGATCGGGTAATAGGTTTTTAACTAGTTTCTATATAACTTCCTGTGCGTTAGTATCTTCTTCTGGTTCCTGGCGTAAATGATTTTTTAGAGAACTTCGTTCGGTGGGTTTTTATGATTGTTGTAAGTTGTGTCTGTTAATTTGTTGTAGACTGTTTTTATCGTTTTGTACGAATCTCTTTGTCCATATCGCATGGTATGTGTTAGATTTATGTGATAGAAATTGCAGAGGGATTTATATGGGGACCAGTCAATTGTGATGGTGGTAGTTTTTGTGAAGAATGACTGGTAGCTGATTGGATGGTAGATCATTCATTGTTTAGCATCGGTGTTGATATAGATCGATTAGAAAGGTATCTATGTTGGAGTACGGTTAGATTGTCAGTGCATGTAAGTGCATGGATGATGTAATTTGTATCGTCAGAGAATTTTTTGATTATGTCTCTGTATGCAAGTCTCTTATTTCATGGAATTACATTTTGAGTTTATTTAACGAGTTTCTCGCTTAAACCTTTCTTTATTAGGTTCTTAGTGCGACTCTGTTTAATTCATTCATGTATTGCACATGTTATATGAATCATATGTAGATAGAATATTTTTAATTTTTTAGCAGCTTTTATCATGTCAGAAACTGCATCTATTATTAGCAGTAATGTTCTTTCCTTAATATCGCTCTGCCACGTTATTCGTACAAATCAATTAACAGAACGAGCAGTACTTTTATAGTTTGTTTCTTTTAATTATTTACTTGTAAATAAATAGAATATTAATACTTTAAACTTACACATTTTCTCTCTTTAATAATTAAATTTGCAAATAGTCCAATTTTGTCTGTTGTTTCGTCTACCAAAATTCAGATGTAATTTTCAGCAATGTCATTTTTAATATTACACATTGCTAATTTATAGTAATTATTGAGATGGTTTTAATATTACACATTGCTAATTTATAGTAATTATTGAGATGGTTTTTACAAAATATTGACTTATTGGGTATATTTTGATTCATATATTTCATAAGGAAACTACACTTTTTATTATGAAGATTTCATTAACTCATATTTACTACAATTATTGTTTTGTACTTGTGAATATAAAATTTATTCTTTTTTTGCCTCTTTTTTTGATATTTCTGGTTATTTCATAATTTGTTTTTGTGACTGAGAATATTTAAATGTTGTAAATAATTGCAATTTTCTATTACAACGTACATATTTATTTTTCACATACTTTACCATGCACACATCTTCCATTATGAACAGAACTGCTACTTTCTGTTTCATCAATCTAATTTTGAACTAATGTACGTCGATTTTTTTTTTTTTTTACTTCGGGCATTTCAGTAGTTTATAACACTACAACTAACGCTGTGTTTTATACTATTGTTACGAGTTTATCTATTGCCTATAATATCACGATTATCATGATTGTGTTGACTCGAGAACGGTATTTGCTGTCATTTCTTGAAAAATTAATTGGTATCGTATAATATTTTATATTGTTGTGTATGTTATATGAGTCATGTTGAATGTAGCAACATTTTAATTTAATTCGCAGAAGGTTAATTTGAAAATTCATTAAACAATGTGGAATTTAATACATATGATAAATATAAATGATACGTGCAATATACTTTTGCATGTGCATCTATGCAAAATCTACACAAAATATACGAAGTATGTAAAATATGTAAAATAATATACGTATGTACAGGGTGTAAAAAAAAAAAAATGTCGCGACTATGCTAGATCGATTCTACACCCTCGATTTGATGGAGAACAATGTAAGCAAAGTGTCGCAAAATTGACCTTGACCGGTTTTTTGAAGGTCACATTTTTTTATGATTGCATCGTTTTCTACTCATCGAGAAGATAAAATGTCTCCAAGGAACCATGGGTCGGAAATGTCTCGTTCTCCTAAAAAATGATTACATATATCCAATTATTATTAAACTCGCCATATATGTAATAGTTTTATATTTTGCAATAGAATAGGCTCTGCTACTGCACTTAATTTCTTCGTCGAACATTTCTTCCACGAGTTCACAAGACAGCACCATCTTGTTTAGAGGCAGCGTAATTATAGCTACAACGAAAAGTCTAATACACAGAGTGTGTAGGTGTATAAGGTGACCTTGCCTTTTTTATGTAAAAAATACTTTTTGAGATTTAAAAATATGAGATTATGTAGCCCACTAAATACTAAAAAAATTTTGTTTGAAACATTTTTTAATAGCACTACTGGAAATGCCTAAAAACTGATGACAAACCTTAACACAGGCACCCGGCAGATGCACAAGCACGTCTTTTACAGATAATACGGCAGGATAGTGCTGTCTTGTGGAAGAAATGTTCGACGATGGAAGAAACTAAGTGCAATAGCAGAGCCTATTCTATTGCAAAATATAAAACTATTACATATATGGCGAGTTTAATAATAATTGGATATATGTAATCATTTTTTAGGAGAACGAGACATTTCCGACCCATGGTTCCTTGGAGACATTTTATTTTCTCGATAAGTAGAATACGATGCAATCATAAAAAAACTTTGACCTTTAAAAAACCGGTCAAAGTCAATTTTGCGACACTTTGCTTACATTGTTCTCCATTAAATCGAGAGTGTAGAATCGATCTAGCATAGTCGTGACATTTTTTTTTACAGCCTGTACTTTGAATTGTCTAACTACAAAATAAATTTCTGATCCTATTTCTGTATTTTTTTTCTATAAAAATATGTATTTGCATAAACATTCGCAATTTAATCATTAATTATTAGGCTCTGAAGGAGAAATAAGATAATATGAACAATCGTTTCTTTCCATCACGATGTAATAAATATGAACTAAATTTTTATTTTAATCCAATTCGTCTTGTGATTCGATTCGTTTCAATTTATCCTAAATCAGATGTTTTGCGTAGAAGAAAAAGCAGAAATAAACGGTATATTGAAGATTCTTTTCTTGCTGTTGAAAGTATTATTCTTAGAAAAATTAATATGAAATAGTGAATAATAAATGACAAACGAACAATACTTGACAAAAGAAAATATACTAATTGTAAGAAGCAAATCAGGAATGAAAACATTTTAAGTATTACTAAGTTCTTGAACGGTCAAACGAACCTAAAAAAACTCTAAATAGAAATTAAAAAATGCTAATAGAACCTTATTTTTATAGTAAAACATTAAATGATACTAGGTATTTAGTGTTTTTGAACACACAATAATTTCGAAGTTACTAAAAAGCATTGCCATTATCGATTATTGAAGTCGATGCTCTGCTCCCACAATTGTAGACCAGCAACCAATTTCTTTAACGCCAATTTCATGTTTCCAAATAAATGGATTGAAACGTCTGAAACGTCTTTTGTGAAATGGCCAGTTAGGTCTCTCCTTATATTTTTTACGAAGCACTGTGAAAAATATCATTTGTGATACCATCTTCCAGTGTAAATGATTTGAGATGAAAAATAATAAACACCTGTACATTGATATTACGAATACAATTAGAATACACCAAAAGTGTATTGCATAGAACACGAAAGTATATTCTAGTGAATGGAGATCTTTTTGAATATGAGTTGTTAACATCTCGACAAGAAATACCGATAAGTCAGTCCACAATATCCGAACTATTTCTTCCGTTCCTGACGTCTAAGTATGAAGGTCATTGAATGGTTACATCATTAATTTCATAATATAGAAAAAGATATAATTTAATATAATATAGATAATTAATATATTATCTATATTAATATATAATATATTAGATAATTAATATATTCTATACATAATATAGAAAAAAATATAGCATTCCATTTAAAAAATTAATGGTCAGCTTCAGTTTTCAGAAAATAATATGATCGGAAAAAATTTTCGTATAAAAAAATAGTACAATTTTGTCCTTTCATTTTTCCATAGAATCTATCGTTTACGAGAAAATTACTGGACACTAAATCCGTGAATACCCGACATAACTCATACTAATTGTATTATATCTAATTCTATTGATGAAAAATTTAAAAATAGCAATTTTATTTTAAATTTCAAAAGTAAAATTTTATTTGTAGGCTGACTCTAGTTACATAAATTATATTATTTTATTTTAAAAATTTAATATTGATTTGTATATTTTCTTATAAATAAAAAATATTTCCTATACAACGTATATTACAATTTTTCTAACATGAAATATGAAATTGATGCTTAAATGCTGAATTTAATGTAATGCTTTAAACAATATTTTAACAACACTTTAATATTATATGACAATGTAAATTAATATTGAAATCTATTAAAAAATACACTTGTAATATTTGTAATATTAAGACATCTGTATTTATTGACATTTACGAATATTGGTCAATCAGGGTTATTTTTAAAACAGAGAATCTGATGTAAGCATAAACATATTAATTGTTAAACTTTCTAACATATTAATTGTTAAATTATTGAAGACTATAAGATAAAAAATAAAAATTTTAACTTGAAATACAAGAGTATCAAAAGTAGCCTTGAGCGTCCAATATCTGTGAACTACTAAATAAATTTTTTACAGTAACATATATCTATTTTTATAGCAATAGAAGACCATTGTATGAATGAGCGACTAGGTGCCTTTTATTTAGATATTGGAGAATATAATGCAAATATTCTTCATAATCCACCAAAGGAAGGAGAACACCATTATTTGCCATATGTCGGCAATGGAGTGTTTGGGATTCCTATTTTATCAGAAGCTTTAATATATATAAAACGAGGAAGAGCATTATCATTGCCTGTACAGTGGCAACCTTTAATTTCACATCAAAAAAGCAATTTTTATCGAGAAGCTACAGTTACCCATTTTACAAATGGAATTGTTTATCGTTACCAGTGTTTCAGAGAAGGATATTACATAGAGTTTCAATACTATGCCCATAGAATATTTGATGCAATATTAGTACAAGATATAAAAATAACTAATCCATTTTCACTTCCGCAAAATGTACCATTGAAGCCACAAATGTCTACACACTGGAATAATTACCGCGCAGAAGTGATCAAGTACTTATTCAACTTTATTTATATCTTCGATCCGATGGAATAAAGAAACGACTGTAAAACGACTGTAAAAAAGTCGGAAAAATTTTTGAGAGACAAAGAAAATCTATTTTATCTAGTAAAACTTGTTATTAATTAAATAATAATAATATTCTATAATGTTGATTAGAGTTTGGCAAGACTTATACCAGAAGAATATTGTATACCAAAAATATTATTAAAGATTATTTAATTAGTAAACGAATTTTATTTTATGAAGAAATGGTATTTAGAATAATTTCAACTAGGGAATATAGTATATTAATGAAAATATTATCACTAAATGAATTCATTAAGTGTTCGGGATATCGAAACAGAATGTTTAAAAGTTATGGCATTTTTGTGACGAATTTAATTTACTCGGAGAGAACAATATAATTATGCTATTCGAATTATGCATATAAAACTTATATGTATTTACGAAGCTTCATATAAATTTGTGTTATTTATGTAAAATTCCCACCTATATTTACAGTCGTTCATAAAATGGTAAAATTTTTCTTACAATTAGAGTTTGGGTTGATCGTGTTGAATCAAAACAATTTGTGTAAAAAGAAAATGAAAATTTTTTTTTAATTCGTGAATTTTTTTAAAATCAAAATCGTATAAAAACAGAACTAGGTGTAATCTTCTTAGCACATGATTTCTTCCTGTAACTAAGGGCTTCGTAAAGTAGTACCAACACATTATAGAGCAATCCTCCGACATTATTTTATCGATTGATCCGTATTATCGGATTGAATACCAATATCAGGATCTTCAATCGGATTCAAATCTATTCTTGTTTTCTTACTTCAAATAATCCTTTTCCAATCTTCTATGGCTCATTATCAAGAAATTTTTTACGTCCTCTAATATCATTATCTGAAACCATTAGTTTGCGTGTCTTTTTTTTATATTGGTCCATTCACTGGCTCGAAAGTTAGACGAAGTTGAAATGACGAGCCTTCTAATATCGAGAATAAATGGGTTAGTATTAATAGTTACTGAGCTCTTAATTAAGGCTTGCAGGGCAGATAAACTGTCTGAATATATAAAGGTTGTTATGAGAGGACTCAAGGGCCATTCTGATAGCATTTTATAATGCAATACATTCAGCTGAGAAGATAAAGAAATAATTATGTAAGCCCAACAGTGAAAAGATATTTAAGTCCTGTGAGTAGCAGGCTGCTCCTACTCTACCAGACTTCTCATCTTTACTGCCATCAATAAAAAAGGAGATGGAGTTAGGGGGTCTGTTACATAGGTGAGCAAGGAACATAGAGTTAGGATACGCAGCATCTTTGAGGAGATAACCCAATTCGATTTGAAGGAATATTGTTGTAAAGAGTAAATTATATTCATATAAAAAGAGGGAATAGTCTCTTTCCGTTTTAAGCAATTGTCTTTCATGTACCAGAGTATCGATTTGACTAAGAAGTATGTTGTGGGATTTAAGCACTAGATTATTCCAAATAGTGGAGTTGTGGAGTCTGTTAACCCAGTTATATAAAGTTCCACTGTTAGAGAGATTTTTCATTATAAATCGGTTACACAGATATTTGGCTCTGTACTGCAGCATGCACAATCTGGACTCACCTAATATTGGTGGGAATGCTACTACAGTATCCTAGAGCAATTCTTAGAGCTGCGTATTGAATTCTCTCCAGCTTTATCATTAGGTTTTTAGTTTTAGGAGCGAAAACAAAGAAACTGTAATCGATATGAGAACGAATGAGGCTTTTGTATAAAGAAATGAGTGTGGAAGGTTCAGCTCCCCAGTTTATGCCACTAATAAATTTAAGAATGTTTAGTCTTTTTGAACATTTATTGCGGACGTAATCAATGTGCACATTGAATTTAAGCTGGTAATCGAAAAATATTCCTAAAAATTGAACATGGTCCCTAGATCTGATGGAGTGATTATTTAATCGAGCAGGTACTTGGTCGGATCCCTTTTTGATCGAATAAGGATAGTCTTTTCAGGTGCTAAAGATAACCCAAGACGGTCGATTTGGCACCTAAGTTGGTAATGATTTTTTCTAAAGTTCTTTTACTTTTGCTAGGTATTGTGACTGGACAGTAAATAGCTATGTCATCCGCGAACTGTGAAATTTGAATAGAAGGATTTAGGCCGACTGTAATATCATTGATGTAAATAAGATATAGGAGAGGGCTGAGGAATCCACCTTCGGTCAGGCCCTTAAATACTTTTCTTGTGAAAGTGTAGGAGTCGTTGACGACAAACGTGACATTACGTTCGTGCGTTAGGAAGCTTACAAGATTAACAATGTTATGAAGGCATCCCAAGGACATAGTCATTGCAAGGTTATTAGCACAAGATCTTCCTGATCGAAAACCAGTCTGAGAAGAGGGGAGAAGGTCAGAAGTTTCTAGCCACCATTGAAGCCTTGACTTAATGATTTTTTCCAATATCTTACAGAGACAAGGTGTTAACGAGATACTTCATCAGTATCCTTCTTATTAATGAAAAACGTAAGACTTTCCTTCCACGCTGGAGGATATATACTGAGCGAATAGATTTCGTTGAGCAGATCAAGTAGTATCAGTTTGTTTGAGAGAGGCAGTTTGACAATTAGAATGTATTCAATTCTGTCAAGGCCTGGGAAGGTCTTGAAGCTACAACTATTAAGGGCCAGAGTAAATTCATGAAGGCCAAAAGGCGAACTGAGAAACTGGTTATTTTCATTAGCGTATAATTCTGGAAAGGCAAAAGTTGGCTTAGTGGGAACCCAAGGAAGACTGAGTTTGTTAATTACATCTTCAATTTTAGTTAATCGGTCTGAGTAGCCTTCATTGAATTTAACACTCGCCCATTTATTTTTTAGGATCTTGCATTTCTTCCAGACTTATGTCACATCGGTTTCAGATGCTTTCTGCGAATTTTCTGAAATTGTCAACTTTACATGTCTTTATATACTATTTATATAGCTGAAGCTATGCGTTTCTTATATTCTATATAATCGGCTATGTTACGTGAATATCTCCACTTTTTAAGTGCAGCTTTTCTAAGACGTATGAGCTTGGTACACTCGCCATTCCACCATGGAACTAAGTTCCTGTGTTGTTTGACATTAGCAGTTTTTGGAGAAGGGGTACAATTTGAAATAGCTTCCGTTATAACATTTAAAAAAAATTGTATTTGCCGATGGTATCGAGTGAATCGAATGAAGAGTCTAGAAATTTCGAATGTGATTGTTTTATTTATTAGATCCAGTTAGTTTTTTTTTTTGGAAGTAAATCCCTGTTGTTATTTCTTTATTGTCATCTATTATGCATTGGTTATTTTTAAAATTAATTTCAATAAAATTAATATCATTATTTTCGATTTCATTTACAGACAATCAACTTTGACTTTCAATGGCTCATCGCTCGTTCTATACATATAGAGTATCCCATTTGAAGTGAACCACGAAAGTATTTCCTAAATTATTTGTGATAGAAAAAAATATAGTAAAACTTATGTTTCAGGGGTATACCTTATGATAGCCACAAATTTTGTCTATGCCGAAATTTCAGAGTGATCTTTGTTTTTTTAAATGAAATAAATATAAAATAAGTATATGGAACAGTATAGATACTTTCATTCGGATAAGAGTAGCCCGTTTCGTGGCAAATTTTTCTTGTTTAATCTTAATATTCATATAAAGTTCAATAAAATCATGCAGCAAGAGCTTTGTAAAGGGAAGGCTTCAATTTTTCAAACTATGATGAATTTAATCATGAAAAAGTTTTTTCAATAATTTTCAAGACATTTGAAGTTTTATTACTTTTGAAAACAAACAGTTCATAATGTTAAAACATTTTTAAACAAGATAAACTTAGAATTGTCAAAACAGAAGCTTTATATTCTAAAATTGGACTAACTGGATTGCTGTATGATTACTTTTCACGAAGTTATAACTACTTAAAATATTAACAATCTTTCATCGAGTAGATGAACAATTTTGGAAGTGACTAAGGCTAAAACTATTTGTTTTTCTTTATCATAAACTTGTTGAATGTTTAAAAATGAGGTTAAAATTTACCAATAGTAGCAGTATTACGGAAGAATCTCAATTGAAGTTTGAGTTTTTCATCGACTGATAATTCGTATAATAGATCAAATGATATACTGAATTTAATTGACAAGTTTGTTTTGTTCGAGTACAAATTTTAAACTGTTACGAATTAATAACGTAATGTTTGGACTTTTAAAAATTAATATCAAGAGCTGCGAACACAATGCAAGTAGAAATGTAACACGATGTTTTTTACAGTATTTAATTAATTTTGTGAATTATCGGAGACAATTCATTAACAACAAATTTGACCAAAAACCGAAAATTTATACCCATACTCCAAATTTATACCCATACTGAAAAAATTCATAAATATTTGTATCTATGAATTGTATGCGAAAATATTTGATTGAAATTGATTTATGTGTAAAAAGTATAATTGCGTTATTTTTTTTATGTAAATTAAATCTGTCAAAAAAGAAGCCATAACGTTTGAACGGAAATGTATCTCCCTCTATCTCCAAATTCCTTTGATGATAAAATTTCCATCGATTTCGATCAAATTTCCATCTGACATTTAGGTGTATGTTGTCTTAAATACTGAACTTCTGTTAATACAAGATATGTCTATAATATTATTTTATACAAATTCGATACGTCATTTTTGTACCAGAAAAAAAGGAATGCTAGTATGTCTTAATTAAATATCGTACAGCAACAAAAATCATTATTGTACAACCGACTTCAATAATGACGTAACAGTCTTTTAGCGACCAAGGATATTCCGGAAATTTTTATATCGAAAAAATGAGGTATTTTTGACATTAATTAAGAGAAAGATTAATGAGTTAATGATGGAATTAAGAGAAGAGAAAAATTTATAAATTTGCTGTTGTTTTATTATTCCATAGGATTGACGATATATATTAAACATTCAAATATATAATATAATCATTCATAAAT